GACAGAGTGACGGATGGCCTGAAATATGACAGACTTTTTCTCTTTAGCAAAACACTGTGGCCAGAGGGGTCTGATCCGCCATACCACAGGCATACAAAGCAGCAGGATTTCCTTGCCTCGCTGCCATTGGGACTCACTCAACCAGAGCTGTTCATCCTGAGCCAAGGGGGAAGCCACATCATCATGAAAATGTGCAAGGCAGCTCCTTAGGAAGCCGTCCTTTCCTTTGGGGTTCCCTCCATTCACCAAGCACGACAGACTCGATGTGGTGGCTTCCTCAGAATCAGCCTTTGGCCTTAGGATCCATAATGCGGATGTTCAGAAAAGGTTTCCCTATGGCTTCCTTAATCCCCTTTCATTAAATGATCACTGCTGATTATAGTCCAGGCATCTCTGTTGCTGGCAGTGCATGGCTAGAAAAGGAGATATTGTTTTACCTGTAAATGGGATTTCTGAGATGCTGATAAAGAACTGTGGGCACCATCCCTGGTGTGCTTTGAAATCTGTATATGTTTCTAACAAGTGTCTGGCTTGTTTTTGCCTTGGGACAAAATAGTGGATGTTTCCATGCCTGATTCACAGTGGACCCTGGAGAGGAAATCAGTCCTACATCTTTGACAAGTCAGTCTTCCTGCCAATTCCCATCAGACTGGAAAGCCTTCGTGTCCATATCGTCTCTGAGCCGCATTGTGGAGTTATCCAGATTACAGGTAGGTTCACAATGTGTCCGCTTTTATTTCTAGTTTAGGGAGATGTGAGTTCAGGACTGTTACCAGGAACCGTAAATACTCGAAACAAAACAAAGGGCACTCTTACAAGAAACGTATTACTTGAGTTGCAGAACAGACTGGTTGCAACCACACCTCCATGGCTCAAAGTGGCTGGGTGCCAGGAGAAACCCACATGTTTGGGAGCATCAAAGCTCCTTTGACCGGACATGGATGAGGAGCTATTTTCTTGTTTTGCTCAATATCTCAACTGGTCTGTTTGAGTGAAATATACACTAGCTTCAGTTCTTCCCTTTTCACAGTTTTCCTTTGGTAGGTGCAGCACTACCAGGCACTCCATTGGTGGGAAATCACTTTGGATAATAGCAGGAGCCCATGCTATTATTTGGGACCTTGGAAGCAATTCCTATGACCTTCGTATTTGTTCACAGCAAATGGCATTTATTCTGTGCTCAGTTATATGGCGAATATTAATCCTGGCCTCTCTTCGTCAATGTGCACAATCAGTTTCTGGTAAGTAGATAAAAGCAGACAATACTCAATGCATGCGAGATTGTATTATAATCGCACCTTGCAGTGTTCAGACCTACAAACTAAATCAGCCCCTCACTGATTGTTGAGCACAACTTCCACAAGATGGCGCCGTTTTAAAGCAAAAGTCTCATTTCCTCCTAGTGGTTTTGCTGGATGTGTTTTCTCAGAATGTTTCTTGTGTTCTGTACCCGACCATCAGTGTTTTGGGCAGCAAAGTTGCTTTACACTGGAAAAGCAAAAGCCTAATTCTAAGACAGTTTAGAATAATTTTATGTTTTAGGATTGAGGTTGCATAGCGTGCTCTTTGGTATCCTATCCAGACCAGATCCACTGTGTGCCATTTATAATAGGAATTATCTCCATCCTCTTCAAACAGGTTTGATCTTCTGGCTATCAGCTCCTTAAGAGCCATGTACTGTCCTCTCTGTGTCAGCAATTCCAGCTGCTATCACTAGGCATCGTGTGCAGGAGTCAAGGACGGTACGTGGCCCCAAAGGATTCCCTGACTTGTTACAACAGCCAAATTGTCATGAAAATTAAACAGCCAACGCTCAAAATCCACTTCCCCCATCAGGATGGTGAGAATGAGATTTTACTTGGGTCTCAGAGACAAGTGACCCTGCTGAATTGAATTTCACACGCTGTGTTAGAGTCAAATGAGCGAGTGGAAAGGTCCATTCTGAATTGACTTGTCATTTCTCTCGTGCTTAAAACAAAGAAACACCTATTTTGCACAGCGCCATGGTCTGAAACTTAAATGGTGGCAGGCTTCTCTTCACGATATCAGATAGCTTATATATCTGTATATGCGACTCCCAGTCAGGCTCACTCTGCCGGTTTTGTCTGGGAACCAATAGACGGGATCAGGCCCAGTGAAGTCAGTGGGGCTTGCACAGAATTTGTACCCGTGCTTACCTCGCACTGTTGATTGCTGCCTGCTGGTGCCTATGATCATTATCAACCTGTAGCATCATAGCCATACCATCATCAGCAATGGCACCCCGCTGCCAGATTGCCAGGCAGTTTTCATCCTGCTTTTTTTTGATTTAACAACCAAAATTTTAAAAAAATGTTTAAATGGGACTTTCTGCCAGCTTCCAGACAAACACTAGCCCTCGTGTATCAAACAGTCCCCTTAAACCTGCATTGATTTACGCAAGCGTGGCAATAAAGTAAGTTTCATGTGATGAAATAAATAAGTTACGGTGACCTCAGGATGACCAGGTATGATTTCAAACAGCAAAGTTGGTGGCCGGATCAGACACCGAAGCCCAGATCTTCAAAGGCATTCAGGGGCCCAATTCCCATTGAAATACCTTTGAGGATGTGGGCCCGCATGTGTGACCTTCTCAGGTAGGAATGGGGCAGGCTTGGCACGGAAATACTCAGAGATAATCTCATCTAATCCCCAAACTAAGTACAGATTGGATGCACCTGAAAGTAATGCAGAGGAGAATGAATGGGAAACAAGGCCCTGACAGCACAGAGCCAAAACAATAACTAAATTTCAGTGTCCCCAACAGGATAGCATGAATAATGTTGTTGTTAAGCTATGGCACAGGTATGTAGTGTAGCTTAGTTAATGTTTGTGAAGCCTGTGGAGAGCCTCGGATGCAAAATGCTGTAGAAGTGCGTAGCATTATTGATGATTATATTAAGTGAGCAGGTTCTGAGACAGGATTCTTTAAGGAATAACACCTGGTCAGTCCATAGCAATTGGAAAAAATATTACCAAATAAAGTACAACATCAGAGCAGCCTGGAGTATGACACCACCACCAGGTAATATTAATTGATGGACGCATGAAAACAGGGTGGATTGGTTTAAATAAGCAAATTAAATAATGATTTAAATCACCAAGTGGAAAACCTCAATTGAAATAATTCATTTTAATTAGGGCTGTCGATTAATCGCAGTTAACTCATGTAATGAACCCAAAAAATTAGTCACGATTTAAAAAAATGAATCCCATGATTAATCGCAGTTTTAATCGCAGTAGAATACCAACTGAAATTTATTAAATATTTTTGGATGTTTTTCTACATTTTCAAATATATTGATTTCTATTACAACATAGAATACACAGTGTACAGTGCTCACTTCATATTATTATTTTTATTGTAAATATTTGCACTGTAAAAATTATAAAACAGTATTTTTCAATTCACCTCATACAAGTACTGTAGTGCAATCTCTTTATCGTGAAAATGCAACTTACAAATGTAAATTTTTTTTTTACCCGCATTCTGCCATATATTTCATGTTATAGCAGTCTCGGGTGATTGACCCAGCCCATGTTGTTTGTTTTAAGACCATTTTCACTGCAGACTTGACAAAATGCAAATAAGGTACCAGTGTGAGATTTCTAAAGAAAGCTACAGCACTCGACCCAAGGTTTAAAAATCTGAAGTGCCTTCCAAAATCTGAGAGGGATGGGGTGTGGAGCATGCTTCTAGATGTCTTAAAAGAGCAACACTCCGATGCGGAAACTATAGACTCCGAACCACCAAAAAAGAATATCAGCCTTCTACTGGTGGTATCTGACTCAGATGATGAAAATGAACATGACGATCCACACTGCTGTGGATCGTTATTGAGCAGAACCCGTCATCAGCATGGACGCATGTCCACTGGAATGGTGGTTGAAGCATGAAGGGACATATGAATCTTTAGCACATCTGGCACATAAATATCTTGCAATGCCGGCTACAACAGCGCCATACAAATGCCTGTTCTCACTTTTAGGTGACACTGTAAACAAGAAGCAGGCAGCATTATCTCCTGCAAATGTAAACAAACTTAATCGTCTGAGCGATTGGCTGAACAAGACGTAGGACCGAGTGGACTTGTAGGTTCTAAAGTTTTACGTTGTTTTATTTTTGAATGCAGTTATTTTTGTACTTAATTCTGTATTTGTAAATTCAACTTTCATGATAAAAGAGCTTGCACTACAGTACTTGTATCAGGTGAATTGAAAAATACGATTTCTCTTGTTTTTTACAGTGCAAATATTTGTAATCAAAAATAAATATAAAGTGAGCTCTTTACACTTTGTATTCTGTGTTGTAATTGAAATCAATATATATGAAAATGTAGAAAACATCCAAAAATATTTAAATAAATGGTATTCTATTATTGTTTAACAGCACGATTAATTGCGATTAATTTTTTTAATCGCTCGATAGCCCTAATTTTAATCAACTTTTCTATTTGTACTTCAGGTATTTTTTTTAAAAAAGGTACACGCTCCTTGGCTGATATAAGCATGAAAATGTTGATTTGGAATGAAATAGAGCTTTTACACTACATTGGATACATGTTTTTGCTACCTAGGAAGGTTCACTGTAACTCTATATATTTCTTTAAGAAAATATATAACTTTATATATTCAGATCCTTATTAATTGTACATTTTAGGATGTTAGAAAATAGTGAATGATATATTGCTTATTTACTAGATAATTAACTTTTTGCTCATGATTTGTGTCAAGTTGCATTGGGATGGTAACTGGAATTTAATTGAGCAAAAAACAGCAGATACAATTTATTTTTATTAAACAAAACAACCCTAACTGTTTTGGATACTGAACTTCTCCTATCCTAACATTTCACATTTATAGCTAAACAGTTTAGTAAATAGAGGGATTTGCTGTAGTCCGTGAATTAAACTGAGTATTTCAGGTCAGCCTAGGAAAATTTTCAAATATGTCTAATTGTGAAATCTTAAATTCCTACTCACCTAAGTTTCTTGAAAAATGAAACAACAGTCTCCTCAGTTACTTAGGCTGCCCTTCAGACTTTTAAAAGTAGGAGATCTCGTTCTCTCTCCTCGTTTTTATTCACAAACTGGAAGAGAGAGACAAGTTTTCCTCTTTTTCAACTCCCAATCGATCTCTCAACTTTGAATGAATTGTCCAAATGAAGTAAATATTCCTTCTGTGCCTGCAGAAGAGGCTACCGCTGTCTGAAGCTGGGTCAGCACTTCAGCGGCCTCTGGTTCCGGGCGCTTAGCTAGCGACTCCCCCAGGTTCAGTGGTCTGACTCGCCTTAAAACAGCGTCAGCAAACACGCACTGCTCCAGTGGCACCTTCCGCCCTGAAAGGTGTTATGGGTGGCATGAGTGGCTGGTGATTATTAGACGCCCAGGTCACAGCAGCATCTTCTCCAGCAGCTAGGCATCTACCCTGGTACTTTGCTTGATCCAGCCGCCTCTTTCCTGCCTGCAGGTTAACTGTGGTGTTGGGTACTTCTGTTGTCAAGGCCCCTTGAAGTTCTTTCCAAATGTCAGTGGCGTCAGCCACACAGCAGCAATCTCCCCGCGGTTTGTCCAGGGCTCTGGAAGCTGGTTTCGGCGTATTCAGCGTGTCTGCCACATGGCTCTCTCCTCCAGTCTTGGCTTCTGTGGCTGTGGTCATTCCATCTATTTGGTCCCAATTTTCGTCACAGTGGGCCAGCTCTGAACTCACAGCTCAGAACAGTCGACCACTGAATTCCACTGTACGTCCTGGGGGAGAATCAGTCTGGCTCCGCCTCCTCTCTTTGGCGAGGCTGAAGCAGAGTGGTTCTCCTGTAAGGATTTTGCAATTTCAGCACGTTGTTTTTTATTCCTGGAGTTGTACTTGAGTCTTCGGCTAAAAGATGCATCAAATGAGCACTAGACCCATATGTTACAAGTTTTATGTTCCTTTCATTGTCATCTTGTAGATTTCATCTCATCTTTGCTACATTTGCGGCATTGTCTGTGACAAAATGACACATCTGACACTTGTATTTTTGCTCACAGTTTGCTACAGCTTTTGCTGCTACTTTTAAGTACTCTGCTGTATGGGCATTTCCTGGTGTATCAGTTGTTTCTGTATGACAAAACCCCCACCTTCTGTTGTCACACCAGCACTTATTGCTGGGTCATTGTGTACATTGCTCCACCCTTTAAGACTCAGACTAACGAATTTCCCAGCAATGTTTTTTGCACACTGCTCATTTTCCTTCTTATACCATCTTATACCTTCTTATACCTTCTTATACCATATATATGCATCCATCAACTTTGCACTGCCGGGTGGACAGTAGCCTGGTCATAACGATTGAACCTGTCAATGAAATGTTGTTCTGAACAAGGTGAAAGGGAGAATTTGTTGCATACATGAACTGAAGAGCCTTTTCATCGATGGAATCTGCCTGGGATGGAACTTGGCCTGGAATCTGCCTGGTTACAAACTCAGCCATGGTTTGATTGGATGATGATGAAAGTTTTATTTATTTATTCCTTTTTTTTGGATACAGGTAATTTACTGTCTGACATGTTTAGTGGCAGCACTGCTGATTGTTGCAGGTGATGGACATTCACAACCTCTTATGTCTAAGCTGGGCACTGAAACAGAATCGTAAAAATAAGTCACTCTCACTCCCTGAGCATTACTCTGCGCTGCTTTAAAAAATGGGATTGTAAATGGAAGATTCCTCCCATTGCAGCTGTTTGTACCACTGTTTCAATGATGTAATTTATTCTAAACCCAGTTCTACAGGGAAAATAATTAACAAATCATAACGATGATCAAAATCTATTTAAACCCTTATTTCTAGCAATATACTAAAGAGCTTGAAAAAGAAATTTTTAAATGTTAAAATTCGTAAATGCCTGATACAATTTTACTTTTAAACAGGATGTCTTCACCTAGGATGTTCGATTGTATTGAGCAATAAAAAATAATTCCAGAAGTAACAGTAAATATTCCCACAAAACTAATCAACAAACTAACATACCAGTAATATTTTGAACACTAACATTTTGAAATTCATAAGTAATCCACCAAAAACAAAAATTCTGACCATAATCTAAGTTATCACCTACTAGCTTAGTAAGGACATGGTAGGCAGTCCATAAGATTAGTGCAAAAATAAGTTTACTAACCAGTTGATCCAGGTTGTTCAGACATGTTCACGTCATCATCTTCGAAGTCATTGCCATCTGAGGAGCATTTTCCATAATGCTGTTTCGTTCTGACAACCAGGCCTTACACCTCCTAGTCGCACCGTTTACATTTGGCACCTATTCCTTTTTCACCCAGAAGTACCGGAATTTCTTGAAAATATTTCCAGAGAGGGTCTCTTTATGACCTGCAGACACGGCAGGTTTTTTCTCCAGTTGCCAGGTGATGAAATCAACACTAGAAGCTGCACAGAGCTCAGGTAGGGAGAAGCTATAAAACAGGTGTATGAGACCACCCAGGTGGGCTCATGGGATGATCCTAATGAGAGACATGCTGGTGTCTTCTTGTGCCTAGTAGCACGTTCCCTGGGTTCCCCACAGGATCAAGCCCTTAATATGGTACATGATCTGTAGAGCCATATTTATAAAGGTTGACCTCCAAAGTTAGATGTGTTCCCCCTGATTCTTTCTCTATATGGAAAAGCAGCCTTTAACTGAGGTTTTGACAGAGGCTCATGGGTACAGCATACTTTTTAAAAAAAAAATTTGTAAGAGATTATAAGAAATTTAGGTCTTGGTGTATTTTGTATTACATTCAGATATTTAAACAGTTTTATTTTTAAAAAGACAAACTTACTACAATTTAAAGAACAATTAAAAAAAAACCCTTTTTTCCCCAAAAAACAAAAAACGTCGATTTTTGTCCACCTTGCATGAAAAATATGTTTGCCATCTGTACCCAAAGAAGGAGGTGCGGTCTCATTGAAAACAATACACGGCACTTCTGTACAGCCCTCTTCAGACAGAGATCTGAAAGTGCATTGTAAAGAAGGTGGGTAAGACTTTACAGGTGGAGAAACTGAGGCACAGAGAAGTTAAGTGACTTGCCCAAGCTCAAACAGTGAGTTAGAGGCAGACCCAGGAACACAACGATTGTCTCTGGTCCATTCCCCTACTCGTGTGTTCTCTACAGTCAGGGATCCGTTGTAGAGCAGGGGCAGGGCGAGTGGCTAAAAGAACTTTTTCAGGACGGAAACAGCGCATGGCTGGAAGGATGTGTCTTTGGCAGAGGTAGAGCAGTGTATAAATCAGACCCATAGATAATCTCATGAGTCTGCTGCCAAACAGACTGGGCTTTGCATCCAGCTGAACCTGTGAGCCTCCTCCCAACAACAAGCAAAACCCGCCCTTTGCTTCCAGTTTCAATTGTAGGGTTCTGGCCTTCAGGTCTCGGAGGGAAAATGAAACTGAAACTTCTGTGCTGCTTCCCCCTGCAAAATTAGTTTTAAAATAGTTACAAAACATCTAACGCAGCTACACAATAAACAAGCATACAAAGGGCAGACGCCCAGGCAGCGGTTAGTGACGAGCTGGCATGAGGAGCAGGGGTGCGCGCTATTTATACTACTACCAAGAAGCGCCAGCAAAGTGCTTTTGTGCTGAACTTTGGCACTTGGATGTGCTGCGAAGGAGCTGAGGAGAACGGGATTATAATATTGCCTGGTCAAGCTCCCTTTTCCGGGACGACTCCTTTCGGATCTGGGAGTGAGTGGGTCAGGAGATGGGTAGTTTTGCCAACCCAAAAGAAAGGCCCATTGATTGGCGTGTAGCGGGAACGGCTCTGGGGGGAGGACAGCTGAACTGAGTAGTTTGTTTGCCAGCTATCTGGCAGGCGGATGTTCAGGAGACTCTCCAGTCACGTAACGTGGGTGACTCAGCTATTCGTCAGAGGCACTGGATGCCGGCCAGATGTCCTGTGCTGCTCCTGTCACTGCTTCTGGGAGGATATTGGGGGAAGAAAGAACTGTGCGAGTCCAAACCCCAAATGGAAATCCCCTTTGGAAATAACATGGGGGCAGAGCCAGAGGTGCCCCATGCTGCTGCTGCAGTGGAATTAGCAGCGGGGTGCAGGGGCACCAGGAGTGGGGACCCAGGCCTGCCTGCTGAGCTGGAAATCTGACCTGGCTGCTCCTCCATCATGGTGGAGGGGCAGCCGGGAGGAATTTGAGTGGTGCTGTGACCCGTGCGCCGACTTGGCCCCCCTTCTTTGCAGCCCCAGCCCCTGGCAAGAAGCAGAGCAGGGCGCACTGGGAACCCCAGCCTTCGGGAGGGTGGGAGGACTGGATCTGGTTCTTGGTGCTTCCTGGGGAAGTGGGGAGACAGGAGGAGGATGGGGTCATCTCCCCGCCCTGCGCCCAGATTCCCCCTGTTGCCAGCATCGCAGTTGTGTCGCTTCTGGCTGCCATTGGTTTAATGGCTGCGCAGGGGACTCTGCTTCCCTTGCTGCTGAGGAGCCCAGCCCTCACTCGCCCACACTCCAGCCGTTACTCAGTCCCTCGACCCTGCGGCCTCCGGTGAGTAACCAGCAGACAGGGCTGGCCTACCCATGGTGAGTCAGGGGCAGGGTCAGACTCCAGGATTCCTGACTCTTCGCTCCAGCCAGCAGAAGAGAACTGAAAAGCAATTCACACTGAAAGCCAAGAGAGAGGTGGGACTGAAATTGGATTCTCCTCCGCCTCCTCTGTGAGTGGTCCAAGCAAAGGGTCTTCTCTGCGGTCACCCCCTTCTCCTCAGTGGCCAGCACTCAGCCTGCCTTAGGGCCCTCAGTAACTTCCATTCCCAGGCCAGACCTGGCTCTCTGGTGCTCCCGCTACAACCTGCTGCCACCCCGCTGGCCCCCCTCCCCACCAGCGTCCATGCTCTACCTGGGCTTTTGTTACAAGTTCATCGGACTCTGAATCGTTCCCAGTCTGCCAGCATCACCTTCAGCCTGCTCCATCTTTCCACGCGCACTGCAAGCCTGAGGGAATGACAAGCTGACCTGGCTGCCACAGCTCCTATGGATGTCTGACATTACATGGCTGCCCCCCCCGCCCCATTGTTCTCAGCACTGGAGGGCTGCTCCCGCCTGTGCGTATCAATACTTAATCGTTTGTGTGTTTAAAAATGCAGCTGCCCCACGGAGGAAAGCTGCAGTCCGAGTGGGCTAAGCCAAGTCTAGCGACTTATACACCACACCCTCTGCTAGCGACCCGAACGTCCTGAATCATGAGCCAAGGCAACCGCATTCATTTTGGCCGTGGCAGCACATTTGTTCTACGTCAGTGGAGTTTTGCCTTGAATGTATTTGTACGTAAATCCCAGTGCAGACCACACCAGAGCATGCAGCAGATCCTTCTTCCTTGTCTTGGCCAACAGATGAGTTTTGCTGTCTGGCTGGGAAGGGGAGTGATTCAGAAATTGGATTGACTTGTACCTGCTCACACTCTGCTCCATTCAGTGGCTGGTTGAACTATGGGGTTTCTATCCCTCTTCATCTGACACTTTAACCCCTCACTCCCTGAGCTTATCTACCTGTCTCCTCTCACATCACTGACTGTCTGGAGTCATATAATGGCCAGATCCTGAAGTCAGCGAGAGCTGAGAGTACTTGACACCATGCAGGGTCCCAAGAAGTGGGTTCTGTTCCCAGCTCCACCATGCCAGTCAGCATTCCTTTGGTAAGAATCGAAGGGCTCATGAGGCTGTACTGCTTTGGGTCAGGACTGGGGGCATTGCTGTGGGAGTGAGAAGCAGCTATGAAATATATAATGTACAATGACAGGTTTCAGAGTAACAGCCGTGTTAGTCTGTATTCGCAAAAAGAAAAGGAGTACTTGTGGCACCTTAGAGACTAACCAATTTATTTGAGCATGAGCTTTCGTGAGCTACAGCTCACTTCATCAGATGTATACCGTGGAAACTGCAGCAGACTTTATATACACACAGAGAATATGAAACAATACCTCCTCCCACCCCACTGTCCTGCTGGTAATAGCTTATCTAAAGTGATCATCAGGTGGGCCATTTCCAGCACAAATCCTACCCCCCCCCCCCAGATGTTCTGGTTTAACTTGGATTTAAACTTGGAGAGTGGTCAGTTTAGATGAGCTATTACCAGCAGGAGAGTGAGTTTGTGTGTGTATGGGGGTGGGAGGGATGTGAGAAAACCTGGATTTATGCAGGAAATAGCCCGACTTGATTATGTAAAGAGTTGTCACTTTGGATGGGCTAGCACCAGCAGGAGAGTGAATTTGTGTGGGGGGGTGGAGGGTGAGAAAACCTGGATTTGTGCTGGAAATGGCCCACCTGATGATCACTTTAAATAAGCTATTACCAGCAGGACAGTGGGGTGGGAGGAGGTATTGTTTCATGATCTCTGTGTGTATATAAAGTCTGCTGCAGTTTCCACGGTATACATCTGATGAAGTGAGCTGTAGCTCACGAAAGCTCATGCTCAAATAAATTGGTTAGTCTCTAAGGTGCTACAAGTACTCCTTTTCATAATATACAATGTGTTAGTACAATCCCACTGTTAGTAGCTATGCAGCATCCTGACGAGTTTCCCTGAACTTAGCACCTTCCTGCTATGGTGCAAGGAGAGATACAGCAGAACATTGTTAGCAGTGTTACAGAAATGTGACATGAAACCAGACAAAATCGTTTTCCATTGTGAACAGTGGGTTTTAAAGAATAGCTTGTAAGGACTGGACACAGCAAGTTACCTTGTTACAACCTGAATAAAGCTAGTTATTTATATGAACCACTTGGCTGAATCCTAGAATACCCGATTCAGGACTCATCACATGGAACAGAACCAATGGCCCTGATACCTGGCAGTGGCTTACGCTGGATTCTACAGAGGAAGATGAAAAACCCAGAAAGCATCTTGGTAGGGTTGTTATGATGAACTACTGTTGTTGTTATTTCCAGAGCAATGTATGGGTAGGAGGCACTTTGCAACGGGATCAAGAATAATACCAAGAATGTAACACCCAGTTCTTACCGATAGTCTCTTTCCCTTCGTCGGCGACACTTGCTTTATCTATTTATTTGTATGACAGTAGCTCTGTGATGTCCCAGCTGAGCCTGGGCACTCCCTGCGCTGGATGATGCACACACATCATGAGAGAGAGGTCCGGCATTCAGAAGAGCTTTCAGACTAAATGGACAATGGGGGGAGAGGACACAGGTCCAAAGAGGCGAAATGCCTTGCCCAAGGTTACCTAGCAGGTCAGTGGCAGAGCCAGGTCTCCTCAGTCCCAGTCCAATGCTCTCTCCTCCCGCCATGCCTAGGGGTCCCTCCCATTGCCGACAGGACCATGAGGGTTTTCCCATGGCAACTCTCAGGGCCTCACGGCACATATGCTGCATTGGTGCTAGCAAGGTGGCTGGAGGGAACGGTTTCCTTTGGGTGCCATCCCTCTCCCGTTTGGCTGATGTTCATTCCTCCGCAAGTGGCAAGACAGTGAATTAGTCTAGCTGCCTTCACAACTGACCCCACATTCACGCCATCAGTGATTCAGCAAGGCGCAGTATGGGGAATATTAGTCATGGGACTTGTCCCAAATGGCCATGAAAGCCAGGACCCCCTGTAATCATGCCCATACCTCTCGGATCACGACGACTTACTTGTTCATCATCATCTAGTGGGATTGCGCCACTGTTGCTTTAAAGCCAAAGAACGCTTATGGGTTGTAAAGATTTTTCTTCCTGCTGCAAGCAAGTGCAATGTTGCTCCCTGGTGCTTACAGGTATAAATGGGAAAAATGCCCTGGAGTGAGGGGACAGGCTGGCAAGTGTCTGGGGGAGTCAGCTCTGAGGCCTGAAATGTTAATATTAACCGTTTCACAGCTGATCATTGTAGCCGAAGCAGCTGGCTGCTATTTGTGGGGGGGCGGCTCCTGAATCCTGGAGCCAGGTTATCTCACAGAACTGTGATCCTCAACTAATCTTTAAGGAAAGTGCAAGTTAGAAACAAAACCCCAGAACAAGGATGTTTCATGGTTTTTTAATTCCACTGTGAGCATTTCTCAAGGCTCCAGTGAGAGATATTCTTCTGTCTGGCAGCTTCATACAAATCTGTTCAGAAGATATTGTCTCATCCCTCTGCTTTGTTCACAGAAACAGCAAGAATGAGTCTGATTCCATACAGGCTACAGGGCTAGTTTTTTAGGCTGGTATTTAAAAATTTAAGAATTGGGTTTGAATAAAGAATGAAGTTATTACCACCAACAACTAATATGAGCAGTATAGATCTTCTTCTGACTTTACTACATGAAATTTGGATGATTTTAGCCATTGCATTTCTCAAACAATTAATGAAAAATCTCTGCTTTTGCCAGACCCATTCTTGGTTGCATCAGTTTAAATTCTGAGTGGCTCCATTGAAACCGGTCCCTTGGATGTTTTCAATAATAATATAACGTTAATTTACAGAAAGTAATTACAGGTTGCTATTTAGAAGAGGCGGCTGTCAGGATCTCTGCTTACTGCATTTGTATTTCTTCCTAGGCATTACATTCCTTTGCTTCCAGACCTCCCTCCAAAGAGAAGTCTGCATCTGTGCAACAATGCCTGCTGCCTCCTCCATCCAGCTGAGAGTGAAATTGCGTGTGAAAGAGGAGTCAGGGCGCCCCGTCTGGCACACGGCGCAGATTACCAAGACTCCTGCACTGGCTGGCAGCTCAGCTGCGTGCTCGAGGATGCTGCATCTGAAAGTCCAGTTCTTGGATGACTCCCAGAAGATCTTTGTAGTGGATGTAAGTGGCTGTCATATTATGGTTTTGTTCTAATTACTGAAGTCATTGCTGCACCAAAGGATTGCACAACCCTCAGATGGTCTGTGATAGCTTCTCGTTTTCAGCTTTGGGAAAAGGAGCGTGTAGCCTTGTCCTCCTCGTATGTTTCAGCGCTTACGTGCGCAAGCTGCCCACTGTCATTTGCATCCTGTTTTTAAAAAGTGGGGGAGATGGGTTGGACTCATCCGGTGTCATCAGTTTAAATCAGCCAGGATGGGGTGCATTTTTGACAGTCTGTCTTCGTTTGTCTGGATGCCAACATTAAGCCTCAACCAGGAAGAAAAGTCTGGGTCCAGGACAAACATAACATATTTTACCAAATTGCTCCTGGGGGGAAAGCTCTGTATGCTTGTCTTCATGGAGACAAGGCTGATGAGAAAAAAGAATGGAGATCAGAAGCAAAGAAAATCATTGACTCATATTTACTCTATAACAGTACCTGGAAAAAACTAGAGTTATTAACTATTCACAATTAATAAATATTAACCTTGAATATTAACCTGTAAAATCTGCACTAAAATATTAGCCTTTAATTTCTACATTGTTACAGCTTTGTATGTAGCTAAATGCAAAGTGATATTACTGTTTACATCTCTTTTTAGGAGTGATTGAGAATATACTGTAGATTAACATGCTAAGGTCACATTCAAATAACATTTAACCAAATCTATTTCAGTACATAGTTCTCTCTCCCCAGGGACCATGTTATTTTATATAAAGTTATTCAAATGATAATGCATTTCCTAGGAAATATTTTATAACATAGCCTGTAGGTTAGTTTCTTTGCAATTGCATTTCTGAATACAGTAATTCCGGACTCTGAATAAGTAGGAAGATTTTTTTTTTTTAACTTTTATTGAGTTACATGAATGGAGCAGAGGTATGGAGTCAGCTTGCAAATGAGGTGTTTTTAAACCTGCTGAGTTTTTCCCTGACTAGATCGGTGTGTGTAGGGTGAGGGTTCAGTGAATGCTGCTAATACCATAGTGCTGCAGTTTGTCCATCTCTGTGTTCTTCTTTGCACAAGACATTTATGGCACGATCGCCCGGCATGACACGTTATTGCAGAAAATAGCCTCCATTAGAGCAACTGCTAGTCATTTCCTGTTTTTTTCCTACATGGAGCTGTATTGGAAACCCCTTTTAGGCATTTGCTGCATTTGCGGTTACGATAAATGAGGAGCTGAATTAGTGACTTCTCCAGAATAAAAAGACCGCTCTAGGCTAAGGTTTGAACAGATATTTCAAGCAACTCAAACGTGACTCTTCCTAAACCCTTACTGACTTTGGAAAGCTCTCTCAAATGTAGAGTGCTTTAGTGTAATGGGAGGAAGAAATACAAAAGAGACCAAATGCAAGGGCCTGGTTTCCCACTGTCTGGTACCTTGGGTAATCATTTGCACCTGTCCCACATGGACATAAATACCATTGGTGGGACTGGACAGGTTGGATCTGATGTTCCATACACTCACTTTGCAGCAGAGTAAATAGCTACACAAGGGTGCCAGCTGGTGGAGAATTGTCTCTCTCTTTGGAAAATTGAGACCTTAAACAGCTAGGGCAAATGTTTCTGCTGCTAGCAAACCCCTCCAACCCAGCGCAGCTAGCATTTACTTCAAGCTCAGGAGAAACTTTCAAAATGCTGCATTGTCTCATTTCAGAGGAGCACATGCAACAGAATCAGGGTTAGCAGCCAGGTTTGACACCCAGGTTTGTCCTTTATCAGAGGTGAAGGAAGCAGTGTCTGAATCTGCAAACCAGGGGATACCACGTTTTACCTCCTACCAGCATTCTTGTAGGGCTCGTTGGTTTCCTTCTAGCAGCAAAATCCCCTGGGGGTGAAGAGATCCTGTGGATGTGGAGTGGCTCCTCCCTCCCCCCCCGCCCCAAACCCAGAAGCAGCAAGGCAGATGGGGGGGGGGGGGGTTCTGTGACACTCCCATCCAGAACATCAGAGCAGGTGTCCCTTTGCAGACCCTCCAGCAAGCCTTTTCCCTTCTATCTCCAGGGAAGCTGTGAGGCCATTGGCTTCCCCCCAGGGTTATGCAATGTGAGCCCCACCAGTTACTGCTGCAGTGGGGGAGCCCCCACCAGCGTTAGCCTCCAATGCTTTCTGCTGCGGCGTTTTGCCGCTTGTGTAAGGGGAACAGTCTGCATCTGCTGGCTGCGTCCTCGGTCCAGTTCCTGCTTGCTCTGAGGGCCTCGCTCTGACCCTAGGTGATGAGGGAAGCCGCAGGGCTCCTCTGAATGCTCTCTTCCATGCATGCTCTTCTTCCCATCTGACAGCAGAGCAGAGCCCAGAGCCCATGGAAACTGGCAATGAAGGAGGCCTGACCCTATTCATTTCCCCAGGGGCAGGCACAGGGCCGAGCTCAGTGCTTTCCCCAGAGATGAGGTGCCCACCGTTCCCTGAAGGACGACTTCATGTTCTAACGGATGGCACCGTTCCGAAACGTCTAGCCATATTCCACTTCATTTCATCCCACTGCCCATAGTTCTCCCCCGGTTGCGTCGCCCGAAATTCCCGTTTTCCCATCCTGGAGTCCGTATTCTTCACGTGCTTGCAAAGAGCTCGACCCCTCCTCCACTGTTCTGAATATGAATTCTTCCCTCTCCTCACTGGTCAGTCCCACCGGCTCCTTAGACATTTGTGTTGCTCTCCTGTGAACCCCTCCTTGTCCAGGTGCCCAGAACGGAGCGCTGCCGTCCCCGGGGAAGGTTCCCCAGCGCCATGCAAAGAAGGGGCTGTCACCTTTCTGCTCCAGTGCTGTGTATGGTTCTGTTTTGCTGCGTGCTGCCAGAGCCAGCCAGTCCCTTTGCGTGTTGGTTGGCTGGTTTGGCTGTCACAGACTGTCGGTCTGTCCTGGCAGCGCTGCTTTCCAAGTATCATCCTTGGCTTGTTGCTCCCTAGACACATGCCTTTCCGTTTGGTTAGATTAGGCTGGCGTTGTCTGTCCTGGTTTCTAATCTCTCTCAGCCCCTCTCTACCGGTTTTCTGCCCTGCCTGAAGTTCACAGTACCTCCCAGGTTGGGAGCCTCTGAGACCGTAATGAACGTGCCACCTATTCTATCGTCCCCGCCATCCCTAATTTTGTTAGGCTCCTTAATGGTGATCAGTGTCGGTAAAATCTTCCTTAGGGAAGATTGCTAAGCCAGTGAACACTGCACTTCTGTTCCAATCCGTTCTGAGAGCCTAGTTCCGGCCCTGAGACCCAGTGGGGAGCTGAGACACGTGGCTCCCAAGTGGCGGGGGAGAGAGATGAGCTTGCAGGGTGCCAGCAGTGGAGCGTGCTCAGCTTTGTTGCTTTCTGCTCCGCACAAAGGCTGAACGTTTGCAGAACTTGCTTCTTTGCAAGTATAATTTGCTACAGGGCAAGATTTGTCTGAAAACCAGCAAACCTAATTGCCAGGCAGAGCCAGCAAAGGGCACAAATTTGATTACATCCTCCTGTCCTTTATCATGAGGCAAGGCAGGAATGTACTGCAAGGGATTTAATAGAGCTGACTGCCCTCCATTTGTGAGTAGATTCACATGCATGTGGACAAGGGGGATCCAGTGTATTTGGATTTGCAGAAAGTCTTTGACAAGGTCCCTCACCAAAGGCTCTTAAGCAAAGTAAGCAGTCGTGGGATAAGAGGGAAGGTCCTCTCATGGATTGGTAACTGGTTAAAAGATAGGAAACAAAGAGTAGGAATAAGGGGTCAGTTTTCAGAATGGAGAGAGGTAAATAGTGGTGTCCCCCAGGAGTCTGTACTGGGACAAGTGCTGTTCAACCTATTCATAAATGATCTGGAAAAGGGGGTAAACAGTGAAGTGGCAAAATTTGCAGATGATACAAAATTACTCAAAATAATTAAGTCCTAAGGAGACTGTGAAGAGCTACAAAGGGATTGCACAAAACTGGGTAGCTGGGCAACAAAATGGCAGATGAAATTCAGTGTTGATAAATGCAAAATAATGGACATTGGAAAACATAATCCCAGTTATACACACAAAAAGATGGGGTCTAAATTAGCTGTTACCACTCAAGAAAGAGATCTTGGAGTCATTGTAGATAGGTCTCTGAAAACATCCACTCAATGTGCAGTAGCAGCCAAAAAAGCAAACAGAATGCTAGGACCCATTAGGAAAAGGACAGATGATAATATAAAGCCACTATATAAATCCATGATATGCCCACACCTTGAATACTGCATGCAGTTCTTGTCACCTCATCTAAAAAAGATACATTAGAAATAGAAAAGGTACAGAGAAAGGCAACAAAATGATTAGGGGTATGGAACAGCTTCTGTATGAGGAGAGGAAAGACTGGAACTGTTCAGCTTGGAAAAGAGACGACTAAGGGATGATAGGATAGGGGTCTGTAAAATAATGACTGGCATGGAGAAAGTGAACAGAGGAGGCAACCTAGTGACAGAGGATGTGGAAAAAGCGAATGTACTCAATGCTTTTTTTGCCTCTGTCTTCACGAACAAGGTCAGCTCCCAGACTGCTGCACTGGGCATCACAGCATGGGGAGGAGGCGATCAGCCCTCTGTGGAGAAAGAAGTGCTTCGGGACTATTTAGAAAAGCTGGACGAGCACAAGTCCATGGGGCCAGATGCGCTGCATCCGAGAGTGCTGAAGGAGTTGGCGGATGCGATTGCAGAGCCATAGGCCATTATCTTTGAAAACTCATGGCGATCGGGGGAGGTCCCGGACGACTGGAAAAAGGCTAATGTAGTGCCCATCTTTAAAAAAGGGAAGAAGGAGGCTCCGTGGAACTACAGGCCAGTCAGCCTCACCTCAGTCCCTGGAAAAATCATGGAGCAGGTGCTCAAGGAATCAATTCTGAAGCACTTAGAGGAAAGGAAAGTGATCAGGAACAGTCAGCATGGATTCACCAAGGGCAAGTCATGCCTGACTAATCTATTTGCCTTCTATGACGAGATAACTGGTTCTGTGGTTGAGGGGAAAGCAG